TATTAAATAAAGGATAAGATTTGTGAGCCTTTCATACTGACATAGAACTTGGATATAGTGGTTACTGTACAAATTATAAGAAGCTTCCCACTGACTGTTATTAAACTTTCTTCATGTGATTTCCAGCAAGTATCACTGCCATAGACCAGCATAAAAGCAATAATATTGTCATCTTCAATTTTACTGGATTGAGAGTGAGATAAATGTTTAATTTTAAAAAGCATAAAATTAAAAACACACATAAAAAGCTTAAAATAATATACTTAGCATTTATTCCAGCTATTTTTCCCACTGTTAATCCTGTGATGTATTTTGGAGTAAGAGAAAATGATTGGACCAAGGTCAGGCTATGAACTACCATGCTGAAAGGGAACCTCAATCTTGGTTTTCCTAGTCTCAAATTATAATTCCTTATTTATTACACCAGAGTGGTTACTTACACAGCTGCCTCATTATCTGTATCATAGAATCAAGCTTGACTTCTAGTACCTAGATACTTCCATGTACAGGTAGCCCTTGCTGAAGTCCATCCATTGAGCAACCATTTGGAATTATGATGGCATTGAACAAAATGACTTACATTATTGAATACTGATTGTTGCATTGCACCTACAGGTACATGAACAAAATTCAGGCCCACTGGCATTTATAACTGCATTTTGACCACATATCCATTGTTGCCAGCTACCACCACCACCCATCTCTGCTTTCCCACTATACAGTACAGTATTACTGTACCAGCTGGGCTCTTTTTCATGCCACTCTTTTTCACAACAATGCTGTTGGGATTTCTCTTACACCTTGCCCAGCATCTCTGTACCTGCTCTGAATGTCATTTCACATAACCAGACTTTATTTTGCAAAAAAAAAACAAAAAACCAACCAATAAAGATCTAGGTAGAAGGATCCTCCTTTCACGTCTCTGCCTTTTTGGAGAAACTTGTGAAAGGAGGCCCCAGGTAGGCAGACATGAAAGGACCCTTCTAGGTGGGTACTTTTCTGAAAAAAGGCCCTGGTTGGTGTACAAATGGAGGTACTGAGTAAGACATGAATGGCAGCCCAGGTAGGGAGAAAGAGAAGCCCTGGTGGCACTGGTGCAAAAGGCAGTGTGAAAAAGGGCCCAGCTGGTACAGTGATGGCACAGATTGGCAGGCAGGAGTGGGTGGCAGAAGCAGCTGTAATTAGGCTGACAGCCAAAAGGGGAAAAGATTAGGGGAGATAGCAGGTGGGGGAAATTCAAGACAAGGCAGTCCCTTATATTATCTGGGCTTGGGACTGAGAGACCAAACTTAGAATGGCTTGACTAACAACTGATGGGATTCAGTTAACAAGCAATGAGCCCTACCAGACTTGCTGTTGCTAAGTAGTATGGTCATGTGATGTCAGACTTTACTATTGCAGCATTTCAAAACAGAAATTCTGGTCCCAATTGCCATCGTAACTTGAGGACTACCTACACTTTTCTTTAGCAACATACAAAAGAGGTTTGTAATCTGCCTTGTAGGATTTTCCCTCCCTTCCCTTTTCCTAGTGTTTTCATTCCCATCAAAATAAGTCTCATTCTCAACCTTTTCAACATAAGTCAGAGTTGTCAACTGTTAGTATAATAAATTATTAAATTCAAGCATGTTATCAGAGAATGGTAAAATTTCAAATACTTTATTGATCCTGTCAATTATACCATCAGTATCATTTTGCATTCTTTCACCAAATTAAGAGTTGTAATTCTTAGGAAAATGGGAATCATCCTGATCCTCATTTGTAATTTGTACATAACACAAGAAGCCACCATCTGGATGGGCTTATGAAACACCAACAACCTGCACACAACTGATGACACTATTATGGTAGCTGAAAACATGGATGATCTGCAAGTAATCTGATTATTTCTAATAATAAAAGAAACAGCGAAAAAATGACTATAATTTATAAAGAAATCAAAAAAATATTTAGAATGTGACTGTGAAAACATTGAGAAAACATAGTTTCTGCCTTTTATATAACCAATAAATAAACCAGAATTTGTATTTACACACACACACACACACTGTATATTGCAGTACTTGATAAGGCAGCAATGAAGGCCTAGGAAAGATACTCAAATGCCAGGATGTAACATGCAGGCAATTTTCCCCCTGCTCTAGGGTAACGAAAGTTGGATTTGAAGTAGTGTGGAATCAGTACTGATGCTTTTGAATTTTGATGTCAGATTAGACTCCTAAGAATACCATGGATAGTGAGGAAAGCAAATGGATCATACACAAAATCTCTATGAGGCACAAATAGCCATACTAAAATTATCAGCTGTTAGATATTTTATGCAAAGATCTATATCTCTTAAGAAATCTATAATGTTGATGTAGGTGGAAGGCTAACCTGCAGCAAGAGCTTGATTACAATGGCAATTGGAAATCCTGAAGAATCAAGTTCATGACAAATCATCCTGAAGAGCTTTGTGATCAAAACTGACTCAATGATATATAACCAAAATAATGAGCTTAATAATCACCAAATTATTTGCAACATGTCTACAAATATGAGGTGTCTCCAGTATGAATTTAACAATTTTAATAAATCTTCTAATATTTATTTTCTTTGTATACATGTCTCAAAAACAATGATAGCCAAAGAAACTTAAAGATTAAATAGCTGCCAATATCAATACTATTCACATATGGTGGGCTCGTTCTGCTGTTTTTGCAAAATATTAAAGCTTTGCTTGTAACATTAATGGTTGATTCTGTGGTATTAAGATGCTTCTTCATTTTTTTATTCAGCTATCTTCAGATTGCATGTCTTCAAGAGTGTTCTGTATGTTCATTATTTCAGTAGTAGCTTTCCTTATTTCATTTTCTACATTGATTACCTTTGTGATCATGTCTTCTTTTTTTATCTCTGCAGCAACAAGCTCACTTGATAGTCTAAGAATGGAATAAATAGCATTTTCGATTACTGGTAAATAGGTCTTGCATTCCTGCAGTTTGTGTTCAGACAATACAAGTTCCTGGTACAGATCATTACTTCTGACCAAAAGACTGTTGTGCTCTTCTTTTAATAATTCAGCTGTGTTTTTATCCAACTGCAGCTGCTGTTCAATCCTTAGCAGTTCATTTTCCTCTTGCCCATTTAATGCTTTAAGATTCATTATTGTACTGTCTTCTAGATCTTTCAGTCTTTCAGAAAGTTTTTTCAGTCCCTGATCCATTGTATTGATCTGGGAAATTATTTCACTATGTAAAATCTTGGTATCCGTTCTTAAGTTGCTGGTATTTGTATCCATCTCAGACGTGCTCATCTTCCAAGAGTCAATCACCTTTTGAAAGGTTTTGCTAATAGTCTTAAACTTTTTAGAACGTGCCTGTTGACTATTTTGAATATCTTCTATGAAGTTATGAAGGCTAGACACTTCTTGCTCAAAATCGGTTATCATGGAAACATATGAAGCAACCTCCTGCAGGACACTCGAAGATGCAAACTGCATTTTTAATACAAAACAATGTCCATCTTCACTTATTGTTTGCAAGTTATATACAGTGTATTTAAATGTTATCTGACTATGAACCTTTGAACGGCATGCCAAAAGCAAACTTCAAAAGGACAGAGGAGAATCAAAATAATTTAAAACATGGAAACAAGATGAATACGAAGCAAAAATCATTACTATTTTAAAATAAACAATGAAAGAAACATCAAGTTAGTGCTAAGTACAGAAAGGCAGATAGAATAACAGAACAAATAGGGCTACAAAGAGGAGAATTTATATTAATAGCGTGAAGAAAGAAAATAAAATATATTGTTTTTATTTTATAATATTTGATTACGGCCATTACTCCCTGAAATAAACAAACATTATTTCAAAAGACAAAACTGATCAGCAGAATTCAGCTGCATTTGGAAGCATTCATGGTCCAATCAGTTGACTATGATTTTCTGAAAATTATTCTTAAAAGCATACTGAAAATTTCAGATGTTAGATCATTCTAAACATGCAATTAAATCAGATTTAAATTATTATGTAGTAAACTGTTCACAGTGCTGTTCGTGGGAAAAACTGGAAGAGTGAGTGCTATGTACAGTGATTTTAATGAAAGGCAAATTATATATTTACAACTAATATATTACTGATTCAAATTGATGCTAGCTAAATTCAGTGGAAGTTATTTCTAAATTAGAATAGGATTGCAGGAAAATCAATTTTTATGTACACTTACTTTGAAAAATATCCACTAAGTCCAATGACATTTACTTCCAAGTAGGTATACATAGTATTACAGTTTTTGGTATATTTCATTATTTAGATTTCAATCAAATGACCGATTTTAAACTTATTTTCAACCTAGATGTGAATAGTTAATGGTTTCACAGATTTTCTTTAAGACTGTAAATGTCTGATGCAAAGTATCTTGCAGATTTCAGATAGTAAGAAATACCAAGTTTTATAGTAATATCTATGATATTTGAATTACCTTTTCAGAGATTGTGCTAATTTTATTTTCCATATCTTGAAACTTTACAGCTTCCTCCTTTAATATGTGATATTTCTTTTCTACAGCAGCCAGCTGAACAGACTGTTGAAAAAGAAACCTGAGAAATGTAGAAAAATCAAATGTTTATCAACAAAACATTTAAAAGTTAAATATTGCTTCCCCAATTTTAGGATAAATTACAGTAACAATTTAACACATCTGCACAAAAGGCTATCTAAGGAATTGTTTGTACCATAATATTCACCAAAAATATATAATTCAATGGAATTATGATAGTTTTACATAAATCAGAAATGCTTTTGCTGATTATAAACAATAATTTGCTAATTTTTGCTACAGAAGCANGGCAAGCAACGTGAGCGCCTTCCCCTCCTGGCTCCTGCAGCTTGGCGCCTTTGTGATACCGCTAGGTCAGTGAGCGGTGCTTTGCACGGCTGGAGGGGGGGTTGTCCATGGGATTTATTTTTGGGGGTGGGGTTATATTTTTGCCCACGCGAAAAATGTGGCAAGGTGTTAGTTTTGGGACAGGTCGTATTTTCGGGGAAGCGCTATTAAATATTAAAGTCAAAATTATTTTGCTGTTCTTTATTCTTTACCATCTTAAGATACTGACTGCTATTATTTTTGTTTGTTTATCTTTCCTTTCTGAATTTAAGTTAAGACTACCCTTTGTGAAGGTGGCGTTCCACAGAGGCCAGTAGTATTTGTTACTCGCCCGGAATTACTAAAAAAAGTACAGCAGAACCTATGCAGGTTAGGAAATGATCCAGGATGGGTGATTATTTATGGCATGGCTGGCTGTGGAAAGTCTGTTTTGGCAGCAGAAACTCTACGTAACCACAGTCTTTTAAAAGGTAGTTATATATTTTTGATTAATGTAGTTTAATTCACATTCATGGTTTATTAAAGATTGCAATTTGTCTTCAAATTAGAATCCACTTCAAACAGAAGTTTCCAATTTAGTTTTGAACATGCTGTATAATAATCCCAAGTGTCCAAATGACATGCAGTAGCAAAATATAATTTTAGAATATGAGTAAGGGAGATAAGTAGCTTCTGCCAGGTGAGGAAGGGACCAAGGATGTGTGTGAGAAGTGTGGTGTAGGTTGGGAAGAGTTCGCCGGGCTATGAGGGGTGTGGGTTAATGAGGTGCATAAGAGGCAAGGGTGTGAGGGTACATGAGAAGCAGGGAGTATATGAGGAAGGCATGGAGGGTTATGACTGACATAAGCTCAAAGGTGCTGAGAAAGTGGATGCAAGAGTTACCTTACCCTAGTTCCAACCTTTCCTGACAGCTTCCCCATTGACTTTCTGTGAAAGCTGGCAGGGAAGGTTACAAATGGTGATACTTGATGACAGGTGCGCCACAACTGGTTGTAAATGCAAACCGTTAGCCAAGTGCCCAGATAGTGATCATGTTATTATGGTGATGCTGAGATAGTCAAAACTCAAAGGACAAGTCATAACCATCAATTGTTCAGTACTATCATAACTTCAAATGGTCACTGAACAAATGGTTGTAAGTTGAGGACTACAACCAACTCCATAGACTCATAACAGTTTATATAGTAAAATATATCAACAGTATCCTGTATGTAGGCATCTCTATGTAGAAGCCGACCCTCAGGTATTAACCAAAATACTGTGAAAAATACCAGTGATGGATAAGCCAACTATGAAAATTAAAACACAAAAATGTCAATGATTGACTTATCTGGAGGTGGCACATTTTTCATGGTACTTGGTTAAAAATTCAAGGATTTGCTTCTCTGTTGCTAGACTTACACATCTGATTCTTTCTAATAATAAAAGAAACAGCNATAAATCACTAGAGGGATCACTTGTAGGAAAAAGGAGGTCTTTTCTCTATTATACAGGGGTTTAGTCAATCCCCAGTTGGAATACTGTTTCCAATTCTGAAGACCTCACCTAAAAAAAGATATAAGATTGAACAAGACAAGAGATTGTCAGCAAAAATGGTGCAAGGTCTGAGGGACAAAACAAATCAGGGGAGATTGGAAACTGAGTATGTACAGCCTGGAGGGCAGAAGGAGGGGGGCTGTGTGTGCATGATTACAACTTTGAATATATATTAAGAGTCAATAAGGTTCTTAGTGGCAGTATTTTCAATGTTAAGCAATCAAGAACACAGAGGGAATAACCTCAATCTGATAGGAGGGAAGTTCAAAAGTAATGTTCGAAAGTTACTTCACAGAAAGAGTAGTGGAAGCTTGGAACCAACTTCCAGCAGAGGTAGTGGTTCCAATCATCAGTAACTGAGTTTAAACACTCTTGGGATAAACATGTCCATCATACGACCCACCCCCCCAAAAGTAAAGAACACACAAAATCTCAAAGGGCAGACTCAGTGGACCTCATGGCATTTTTCTGGCATCAGTTTTCTGTTCCAAAAAGCTGATCACCCAGCCAAAATCAAGAAATGACACTTTTGTTGTCTTTTACTCATTACGTGCCATTAAGAGGAGTCAATTCTTAGCAATCATGCGAACAGTATTTCACCAGAACTATACAGTATCAGATTTTCTCTCATTTTGCTTACCACAATAGCCCGAGACTAGCAACAAGAGATAACAAACTTGAAGCTGTTTGCAGATCCATCCTCATGGATTTGGTACTCTTGACAACTTGTTTCTTTTGTTCATCTTCGTTTGGTTTGGAAATGTTTCCTTTCCTCCGCTTGACTTCGGACATGTCTTGATGCAGGATTCATGCACTGAATTGAAGAAGTGCGTTAATCTCCTAATAGTTTTTCCTCCAAAGGAAGCTCCCTACACCGTAAGTAAATCCCATTTAGTTCAAAGCCATTTACTTTCCACTAAACGTACCTAATGCTAAATCAATATTCCTCCTCTCTCTCTAGAAACCTACTCCTCTACTGTTGAGGGTGAAATCGCAGCGTTATTTATATATAATCATTTCCCTTTCCATCGCTCTCCCGTTTTCCCCTTCTAGTACCTCTACAACAGAAAGAGAAAACACTTGAATCCTCCCAATGGTACTCCAGCCCAGCGCCCAACTCGAAGCTTTATGGGAAGATTCTTCTTCGCCGCCGCCACTCCGAGATGGACCGCCACGTCCAAGCGCATGCTCGGCGATGCGCGCCCCCTCCCTTTCCGCCATCGCTTCGCTGGGCCCTTGCTAGTCAATATAGGCGGGGGGTGGGGGTGAGGGGGAGTGGCGAGATGAACGCGGCGCGAGCGGCTGGGAGGCGCGCAGTCGCAGGCTGCCACAACTGTCTCTTTGCCTTTCCAGGCGCGAGCTGAGCCCAGACTTTGAGCGAGTGGCTCGGGCACGAGACGTCGGCTTTGTTCGCTCGAGCCTCGTGGCTGCCGATGGGCGGCGACCCGCTCCGCTTCTTCCGAGCTACCTTTCCCCGAGGAACTTCGGCCGAGGCTCGCCTCTGCTTTACCCCGCCCCTCTCTCCCGTTGCCTCATCGATTCTCCTCGCGAAGGAGGAAGCGGCTGCTTGTTCCCGGGGGCAACTGAGATGGGGTGAATTCAAGGCTGAGAGGCGCCAAGGGCTTCATCGGGGTCGCCCCCTTCCGTTCACACGAACACTGCTTACGCCTCAGGTAACGGTGCAGCAAAGCCTGAGGGCGGGGAGTCGGTAGACGAGGCGATGAGAGAGGGGGGAAAATAAATAAAAGCGCGTTGAAGGTGGGTTGGAGAGGACAGGGGCCATCGAGGTAAAAAATAGTGCGGGCCAACTTTAGGAGCGGAGCGGGCAGTAGAGAATTCGCAGCAGGACGTAACATTTCCTTAAATAGATTGATCGGGAAAGTTGCCCTTTGTATTTTCGGTTTTAGTTTGGATAGAGCTATTCTACATAAAGAAACGTGTTCTGCGTTGAAAAAAATCTACTCCCGTATTTTTGGAAGGCAAGTGGGGTCTTGGATATTGAACATTTTAAGTAGCATGAAGTAGTAGTTTAAGTGCATGTTTTAAGTAGAGGCAAGAATTTTCCTTCGTCGAATATTTAACTTCCTGAAATTAGTCACGTACAGCAGTAAACACATCTGTACAAGATAGTCCTAATGAACTTCAAGTAGATAACTCCAAGTTAGTGTTTTGTTGCATCAAATTATTCTAATTTGTTGATATGTTTCTGATAGGAGCAAATTAAATCTACACAATCATGAAAACTTACAACTCTATCCTCTAGATGTCACTTTCTTTTTATTGACTTAGAACAGGTTTAAGTTAGTGTATTATTGAAGAAATAATTCTTTATGTTGCATACATTTTTCACTAAATAGTCATAGTGCAAGAATTGAACAGTATATACTTTATGTGCAATTTTGCATATTCAGAGTATATGTACTTAAAGTATCTTTGTAGTTCTGGTGTTTGATATCGTACATTAAAATATGTGCAATTAGGTTCCAATACTTGGCGCTTAAATTTCAAAATGTTACAGCGTATTGCTTTAACTTGCTGTTATATAAAATTTGTACTTAATACTATAGCATATTTTATTAATCTGCATTGTTTCCGTAAACCTGTTTCTGTTTTTTACGCTAATTAGTATTTTGTGTTAAACATTACGTTTCAGATTGCGTTTATTTCTGAACATTGCTTCTTATGGTTATATACTTTGTATTTTATTCTTCTTATATACATGTTTTTGTACAGTTTTATTCCTTTTAACATTTTAAGCCCCTTATGATGAAATGGGCGGGAAACAAATGTAATACAAAAATAAATATTTTTTTATTTTTCAAGTTGTAAATACTGTATATGTAATGTTCTAGAAGTGCAAGGATATCACTTAAAGATATTAAACTAGACTATTTTGACTGTTTAAAGCAAATTTATAGTTGAAGTTAACTTACTTTATGTAATTTGTTAAATAAATGCTAAAATCCTATGGTGAAAACAGCATCTAAATCAGGGTGTGGTTGATTTAAATCAAGTTGTTTTAAATCATTTAAATCACTAGTAAAAAGGCTTGATTTAAATCAACTCGATTTAAACCATAATTTTTAAAGAGCAACTGTCATCTCTGTCCCGCAGTGGCTCTTCATCTAACCTGCTGTTGACTCATCAGACATCCCATTCACTTTAATGGGGCGACTGGTGACGCGGCAGTGACACAACAAAGTGTGGGACATAGCAGGCAGCAAGTGAATGGATGCCTTCTAACAGGCGTTGTCATGATGGATCTGAAATGACAGGTGTTCTTTAATATATTTATAAGCTGCTTAGAAGGTTTCACTTTCATTTTTACTGCTTTCCCTTCCTCCTCACACTTAGAGCTTGGTGGTACAGATGCATTTCTCTTCAAACAATCATGAAGTTTGTAGTGTACATAGATTTTCAAAACAATGGGATAAATTAATATTCCTGAACTTTGTTTTATGATTTATGTTATAGTTACTGTGTAATTGTGTGAATACATCAACACAGTACATGTTATCTCAGCTTGCAGAGCTTGGATTCATTGAATGAGTTTACCAAAAATGTAAATATTGCATAATATACAGCCTCATGATACATAACTAAGCTCAACTCCATGTTGAATAAACTAAATTATTAATTAATAA